TTTTGTTAGTGTTCTTATTGCTGTATGTTTGCAGTGCTTCTCAAACTTTTCCACAGAAGTTTATCAATGGCAGAAGAAATTGTATGGGACTTACAGCCTGCCTGAGATGCTACATTAATATCATGTATACTGTCTTAGCCTTAAAAATATGTATAAAATTTACATTTAATTTGATACAGTGGGTACATTTTGTTTAATATAAAAACATTTTAATTTGCTATCCTGGAATAAAATTGATCTTTGTCAAAGATGATAATGTTTATCCTGAAATTTCAAGTGTTTTCTGTAAACTTCCCTGCTTCATTTTCTAGACTTCTGTATTTCCCAAGTTCAGTAAATAATAATTACTTCAGCTCTGGACAGTTTGGCTCAGCAGTTAGAGCATCAGCTCGTGGACGGAAGAGTCTGGGGTTTAATTCTCTGTCGAGGGCACATACCTTTGTTGCAGGTTAGATCCTCGGCCCGACCAGCGCCATGTGGGAGGCAACCAATTGATACGTCGCTTTCACATGGATGTTTCTCTCTCACTGCCCCTCCCCCTGCCCCATTCTATCTAAAAATCAATAGAAAAATATCCTTGAGTGAGAATTTTAAAAAATAATTTTAAAAAATACTAAGTATTTTGATGTCAGAGACTAGGTCTTTTATCTCTGGATTCCCAACATTAAAGACAGTATCTAACACCTAGCATGTGTTCAATATTAATTGAATAAAATGAATGAATGAACAAAAATTCAGTCTTGGATTAATAGTCTTAAATGTCAGCATTGTGAAAAATTAAAATTTTAATGATTTTATTCTTACAGAAAAAGTATGACTAGTTATGACTAATGATATTGTGAAAGTCATGCATTTAAAAGAATCATTTTATGGCTTATATAACAAAAGTTCATTTAACTTTTTATAGTTCAAAGTATAAAATACACAGAAAAAGATCTCATATGTATTCAGCTCAATGAATTTTCACACATTCAGTAATTTCACATAACTAATATACATATCAAAAAACAGAACTATAACAGCCTCTTGGAAGTCCCTTCATGCTCTCATTTTTTTTAGTCCTCACCCGAGGATATTTTTCCATTTATCTTCATATTGAATGGGAGAGAGGGAGGGATACATCAATGTGAGAGAGACACATCCATTGGTTGCCTTCCACATGGCCTCTGGTCGAGGCTGGGGATCTAACCTGCAACTGAGGTACATGCCCTTGACCAAAATAGAACCCACGATTCCTTGGTCTGCGGCCGACGCCCTAACTAATGAGCCAAACCGGCCAAGGCCATGCTCTCATCTTTTTAACAGCATATATTATAAAGTAATTTCATACTTTAGTACAAGTCAAGACAACAAATTGAATCTAGAATTTCTTTTTATTTTTTTTTATTCTCACCCGAGAGGACATTTTTCCATTTTTTGTTCAGATAGAGTGAGAGGGAGAGAGAGAGAGAGAAACATCGACGTGAAAGGGACACATCGAGTGGCTGCCACCAGCATGACCAACCAGGGCCGGGGACAAACTGCAAGCGAGGTACGCGCCCTTAGCGGGAACCAAACCCGGGTTTCTCTGGACCACAGGCCGATGCTCTAACCGCTGAGCCAAACCGACCAGGGCTAGAATTTCTTATTCTGTCACAAATCAGGCTAATGATTTAGTATTTATAATTAGTAACCGATATTACAAAATAGTTTTTTTTTATCCTCACCTGAGGACATTTTTCCATTTTTTTGTTCAGATAGAGTGGGAAGGGGGGGGGGGGCGGCAGAAAGAAACATCTACGTGAAAGGTACACATTGAGTGGTTGCCACCCGCACAACCCAACCAGGGGACAAACTGCAGCTGAGGTATGTGCCCTTGGGGGAGCATGCAGGAGGTGGCCAACTGATGTTCTCTTTTATCAATGTTTCTATCTCTACCTCTCTCTCTCTCTCCCCCTCCTCTCTAAAATCAATAAAGAAAAAAGATTTTAAGAACGTAAATAAATAAAATAAAAAACAATGAGCAGTAAATTCTTTTGAGCTCTTATGTATAGTTGTCAAATTTTCTTATTTTCATTTGACTTTTAAAAATTTGTTCAGAGCAGTAGTTCTCAGTGGGGAGGGAACCTGGTTTTGTCTCCCAGGAGACATTCGGCAATCTCTGGAGATCTGATGACATTTTGGGTTGTCGTCATTGGAGGGTGCTACTGACATCTAGTGGCTAAAGGCCTGGGTTGCTGCTAAACTAGACTCACAGATCAGCCCCCCACCTCCCCTAAAAAAATTATAGGCCAAAATGTCAGTAGTGTCCAGATGGAGAGTAATATTTTATAAAGAATGGGTAGATTGCGTTTGATCCAGTTTAGTTCAGATAGGGTCTAGCACTATACTTATGGAGTACAAGATACTAGGAATTTAATTTCCCCAGGTGCAGGTCCCATCTTTCTGTAGTACATGTGCTCAGACCCCAACCAAAAGTCTTGAACATTTCTGCTGTGATGACCAGAAGAATGCAGTGTGTCCATGTAGAAGAGTTGGTAGAACTCTCACTCCTTCTGGGGAAAAGTCTTAAAGCATGGTGTTTGTACATACAGTTTTACCCACGTGAGTGGTTGTCACTAGGTTGGAATCAGGTTGTTACATGCTTTGACTAGCAGCATTGTTTAATTTTGTTATTAGTTCCCTGACTTAATGGTCTACAGGCCTGAGGCAGAGGGAATTGTTCCTGTGGCCACCCAGTTATCCAACTTCAACCACGTTTTCTTACCATCTGTTGAGAAGTGTCAAATGGAGAATTCAGTAGCTGTCCACAAACATCTATGCTTACCTGCATACCCCTGCCCTGTTTCTTTCTCCCAGTGATTATGGGAGGTCAGAAACACTAGCGTAAATGCTGGTAACGAAGTTATAAATTAATATCTGATTAATTTGTTCTTCAAAGCTGTTTTTCAGGGGGTACCTTTTTAAAAAAAAAAAATACTTTTGTGTCCCTTGTGAGCTTATTCTAGTCTTGACAACTTGACCTACCCTGAATAAAAAGCCACATTTGAGGCACGGCCCTAAAACATTTGTTGATGGTCAACAAATAATAATAATAATGGCAATATACCAATTCTGACTTTCATAATAAAGTATTCTCTAAAAGTATTGCCACAGAGCACAGAACAATAAACCAAGATTTGTGTAATTGGAACTATAAATCTATGGAAAAGCCATAAACTTAATGGAGATTAGCTTAGAATGTGACTATTTGATTCTGCTCATTTAACTGTGAAAGCAGATATAAATGAGAACATTTTTTGAAGAAAATTGTTTGGCACAATTAAAATAATCTCTTATGTGTTGTGGCTTGTTTGTATTATGGGAGCATAGATTTATCAGTATTTTTGAAACTTAAAATATTTAATAGATCTTTAGGACATTTTCAGTTTTTATATAAATCTGATATATTTGATGTTTGAGAATATATATGTATGTCATAGTAGAAAGAGCATTAACTTTCATGTCAGATCTAGGTCCAAATTCTGCCACCTATGAACTTTGGCCTTGGACCACTTAGCTATTAAGGGCCTGCTGCTTTCCCACCTGAAAAGAAGGGATGCTACTTAAATGATTGAGTCACAAGAATTAAATGAGATAATCATGTAAAAGAATGGTCAGCAGGAGAGAAGAATAAACATTTTTCGGAGTCATTGATTCATTTATAAGTGGGTTATAGTGGTCATGAGCACAGGGTTTGGAGTTGGAGAAACACAGGGCCTAAACTTCGGCTCTATTGTCTGTTACTAGCTGTGTGCGGGGGCCATCCTCTTTACTCCCTAAGCCTCATTTTCCTTCCTTGCAAATGGGTGCTGTTGGTACCTGTCTCATAGCATGTTGTAATGAAGGATTGAGATCATACTTGTAAGAAGCAGCCAACAGTACCTGACACAGGATACACACCAGTAAATGAACATACTGAGTGTCTAGATTGTTTAGAATTCTGTTGATAAAATATGGTACTTAGTTCTTCTCCTCAAATAGTTTATCTGACTGGTTGATGAGAGCCATACACCCTATGCTAAGTCTTAAAAATTTTGTGAATTGATTAAGTTTTAATATTGCATTATTCTAATAATGTTAATTATTTTAATTTAATAATGCTTAGTTTAAATAATGGTGATAATTAGTATAAATACTAATACTGATAATAAAAGTAGTATATTGGGAATAAAATTTAAATACTTTTATCTCATTGGATTTTTTTTTCTTTATTGATTTTAGAGAGAGAGGAAGGGAGAGGGAGAGAGAGATAGAAACATCGATGAGAGAGAACATGGATTGGCTGTCTCCTGCATGCTCCCCACTGGGGATCGGGCCCACAACCTGGGCATGTGCCCTGACCAGGAATCGAACTGGTGACCTTGGTGCATGGGTTGACACTCAACCACTGAGCCACACCAGCCAGGCTCATTGGTTTTATTTATTTTATTTTTATTTTTTTGGTACATGCCCCTAGCGGGAACCAAACCCAGGACTTTCTGGTCTGCAGGCCAATGCTCCAACCGCTGAGCCAAACCGGCCAGGGCTGGTTTTATTTTTTAAAGCACTTCACAAATTGTGTAGAGAGTAAGGGGGGCAGGGCAAGGGTAGAAGCAGACCAGTGTGAAAGTTGTGGAATAGTGTGCAATGAATGGGTACCCAGGTTAGGGTGCTGACAGAGGTGGTGGTGAAAATATTAAAAGACTGTACTCAAAGCCCAAAATTTGATAAAATAAATGATTTTTACTGTTTCATTGAGGATGAAATCAACATCATTTTTTTACTGTTGTTAACAACAAGTACATGGCAGAGAAGATTACAACAGCTAATAGTATAATTTGATGCCACTACCTTGATTCTTGCCAAGACAACAATAGTTTTAGCCACCATTTCTTCTGCACCATCAATGCAAGGGTCAAAGCAGTGTAATTATACTGAATTTTAAAATGCACTGTTTTCAGTAACCAGGCATCATCTTCTTTCTTCTCCATTGGCTGCAGATCCTAATTATCTCATGGCTAACGAGCGCATGAACCTGATGAACATGGCCAAGCTGAGTATCAAGGGCTTGATTGAATCAGCTCTGAACCTGGGGAGGACGCTGGACTCGGACTACGCACCTCTCCAGCAGTTCTTCGTGGTGATGGAGCACTGCCTGAAACACGGCTTGAAAGGTGGGCCATGGCCTCCCAGTGCAAAGGGGCGTTCAGCTGTTTCCTAACAACACACACTCAAGAAGAAAAGCATTCTTTGTGGAGCCAAAGAATAAGAGGCTTGAATTAATATTAATCTATTGGAATGTCGAGATATGGTTGACTTAAAGGACTTCTAGGGCTTAGGAAACACAGATCATTAAATGCTAGAGCTGGAAGGGCTATTACAGTTCCAATCTGGCAGTTGTGTTTGACAGGTTGCAGATAGGCTTGGAATGGGATGTGACTTTCCCACAGTCACACAGTGAGCAGGGTAGAGCATGTGCTGGAGCCTAGACCTCCCAATTCTTGCTTCTGTGCCCTGCCCACTTAACCATAAACTTTTGAACGTAGGACCTGGTCTTGTTCACCTTTGCTTCTTCCCCGGTATTTGATAGCCTGTTTCTGGATTATATATTTGTTCCTATTGATCTGTTTCTTCACTATACAACACAGCTTTAAGTATTATATTGTTAAAGTGTTTTGTTATATTTTAGAGCGAGTCCATAAATTCTTCCTAAAAGGAACACTGAGTCTTGAGAAGTAGGGGATTTTTGATTTTCATAAAATTTTACAGATTCTGAAAGCATGAATAATTTTAGAAACATCTGGTAATGTAACCCTAGCTGGGTGGCTCGGTTGGTTGAGCATTGTCCTGTACACCAAAAGGTTGTGTGTTCGATTCCCAGTCAGGGCACATATCTGGGTTGCAGGTTCAATCCCTGGTCAGGGTGCATAATGGAGACAAGTAATCAATGTTTCTCTCTCTTTCCCTCCCCTCCTTCCCTCCCTCCTTTCCTGTCTTCCTTCCTCCCTCCCTCCCTTCCTGTCTTTCTTCCTTTCTCTCTTCTTCCTCTCTCTAAAAATCAATAAACATATCCTCAGGTAAGGATAAAAAAATTATTCAAAAATATCTGGTAATCTAGGTTTGGTTCCCAGAAAAGAGCATTGAATAGATGGGAGAGGGGTGGAGGGGGCATATTTATGTTGTAAAGAATATTAAAATACTGCTTTCTTTTTATCTCCTTAGCTAAGAAAACTTTTCTTGGACAAAATAAATCCTTCTGGGGGCCTCTAGAACTGGTAGAAAAGCTTGTTCCAGAAGCTGCAGAGATAACAGCAAGTGTTAAAGATCTCCCAGGACTTAAGTAAGTGTAAGGTTGAATTCTGTTTGTCAGGGAAAACATTTTATTAACTATCCCCTTGAAGAGTCAGACAAAGACAGTGATAACCATAATAATTTATTTTATAACAACCCAAAATTCATACTGTGGTTACGAATTGGCACTGTTTTGAGAGAACTGGAAATGTAGACAGTTAAGAGAAGTATGCCTGTGAAGGCTAGTTATTATTATTAATCTGAGTGAGATTGTTAAAATACCAAGCGTTTTCTAATGTTTTTTTTAAAGTATTTGTAGGAATCAGTTAGTGAATTTCAAGAAATTAGATCAAGGGAGGTGGCATACTGGACTTGACTTAAGAAAAAGAAGGTATTTGATGGAGCTTGAAAACCAAGATTAAAGAGTTTGTCAACCTTGGCCGGTGGCTTAGTTGGTTGGAACATTGTCCCGTGTACCAAAAGGTTACGGGTTCAATACCTAATCGGGGCACATACAGGAGGCAACCAATCAGTGTTTCTCTTTTTCTCTCTCTCTCTCTCTCTCTCTCTCTCTCTCTCTCTCTCTCTCTCTCTCTCTTTCTCTCTCCCTTCTTCTCTTCTAAAATCAATAAATATATCCTCAGGTGAGGATAAAAAAAAAATTTAAAAACAGTTGTCAAGTGAACCTCAGGAACTGACACCCGGAACCTGCCTTAGAACTTGAGAAAGAGTACTAATCACCTTCCCAAATTAGATTGGTTTAATTTTAATCAGATAGATGTCTAAGTGGCCTGTGCCCGCATTATTATTATTTGGGTACTGATATGATTCACACTACGTTTATGAGGATTTACTAATCTGATGGACCATTTTCAGTTGAGCCTCCCAGAGGTCTTGCCTTCAAATTGTGGTTTGATTCAGTAATTAATTCTTTACCAGAGCATTTGTTCCAAACACACCCTCCAAGTCCCTCTAGACCACACAGAATTTCTCACACAGGATATGGTATGGTGGGAAAGGTTGTGGGGAGCACCTCAGTGTGCATGTTCTGCTGGAGGACCATTAGCAAGAGTAAGTGAATCTGTCCCACTGTGACCCCTCTTTCTGCTACCTTTAGTTGTTTGGTTTCTGTGTTTTTGTAGGACACCAATAGGCAGAGGAAGAGCCTGGCTTCGATTAGCATTAATGCAAAAGAAACTTTCAGAATATATGAAAGCTTTGATCAATAAAAAGGAACTTCTCAGGTATGAACATCTTCTTGTTGGACTTTCCTTTTGTTCTGCTACGTTTTCCATCATGAGTTCAAATTATATAAATTTATAATTTTTGTAGGTCAGAAATAGTTGACTCATAACAATTTCACATAGTTCAAATGATACCTTCTTCCACACCTCAACACATATGTACTCAAGAGTAAGTGTTGTTATATTACATATGTTTTCTGTCACTATGGCATATATATGGTCCTTTGCAGGGCAATCCAAAACTTAACACCTCCAGAAAACAGGAAAGGCTTTGACACCTTAGCATGCACACCATGTTCAGTAAGACAGGAAGTTGACATGTAACATTAAATTCAGATGAAACACACACAAAAATGTTTTTCCAAATGGATCACAGATACAAATGAGAAAAAGAAAACAATAAAACTTTTAGAAGAAAACAGACAAAATTTTTCTACACAGAATACAGAAAGTTCTACCTGTAAAGGAAAAAATGGATAAATCGATCTACATTAAAATGAAGAATTTTTGTTCAACAGTACAAATATGTGGGAAAAGCGTGAATACTCATTTCAATGAAAATACCATTCTGATCACTTTTCATTCAGCTGGGCTGTTTATTCTCTAGAGAGTCTCTTCATGCATGTATAATCTAAATAAAGTATCCAAGACATCCAATTTTTTATTTTTTTATTTTTTTACTTTTTTGCTGTTATCATAGATGACCATATTCAACCATGAGGCAAGGGTTTTTCTCATCTTGTGATTACATTGTTGGTTCTTGAGGTTCTATTACAATAGAGCATTCCATGGATCTCTCTTACAGCGAATTCTATGAACCAAATGCCCTCATGATGGAAGAAGAAGGAGCCATAATAGCTGGTCTTTTGGTGGGTCTGAATGTCATTGATGCCAATTTCTGCATGAAAGGAGAAGATTTGGACTCTCAGGTATGAGAAAGATACTCGGTTTACAAGTGTGTCACTGAGTTCTGTTATCTCAGAATCTGGATTAATCAGATTATTACAACAAAATTAGGAAATTTTTTAGGTCATAAATAGGATTTCCTTTCATTTTGATGTGAATATAGAAAATTAGTTTGTTTACCTTCCTACTTGGCTCATTTATGCATTCTGAACATTTTTCAAATTCTTTTTTTTTTTTTAAGAGTTTGGTATCATCAAAATTGCCCAATTGTTTTTTTTTGTTTGTTTGTTTGTTTTTAATTATTGTTGAAAGTATTACAGCCCTGGCTGGTTTGGCTAAGCTGTTGGAGCTTCGGCCTGCGGACCAGAGAGTCCCAAGTTCAGTTCCCGCTAAGGGCACATACCTAACTTGCTGTTAGTCTCCGGCCCTGGTTGGGGTTGTGCGGCTGGCAACCAGTCAAAGTGTCTCCCTCACGTCGATGTTTCTCTCTATCTCTCTTCCTGCTATATCTGAAGATAGATTTAAAAATGTCCTCGGGTGAGGATAAAAAATAAATAATAATAATAATAATAATGAAAGTATTACAGATGTCTCCCTTTTTCCCCATTGACCCCCTTCTTCCCGCTCCCACACCCCTCCTGCCTTCCCCAGCCTAATGTCGGTGTTGATTATTGTGCATACATGCATATAAGTTCTTTGGTTTATCTCTTCCCACCCCTCCCACTCCACATCCCTCTGACATTTGTCAGTTTGTTCCTACTTCCATGATTCTGGATCTCTTTTGGTCTACAGCTTATTTTGTTCATTATGTTCCACAAATAAGTGAGATCGTGTGGTACCTGTCTTTTCAAATTTTTATATTGACTGTGATCCCTGTTAAAAATATTTTGTGCAGGCTAAAATATACGTATTCAGACTAAAGTATATGCATAGGCTAAATACTAAAAGTCAGTATAGAGTGGTAGTCAAGAGTAAAAACTCTAAAGCCAAACGTTAGGTTGAGATTCCAGCTTTTTTGTTTACTAGCTGAATATATTTTGTAGTTATTACTTAGCTTTTTTTTTTTTTAAATCCTCATCCAAGAATATTTTTCCATTTATTTTCAGAGTGGGAGGGAGAGAGAGAGGGAGAGAGAGAAACATCGATGTGAGAGAGACACATTGATTAGTTGCCTTCCGCATAACCACGACCAGGGCTGGGGACCGAACTGCAACCGAGGTGTGTGCCCTTGATCAGAATCGAACCCGTGACTCGTTGGTCCGCAGGCCGACCCACGCTCTAACTGCTGAGCCAAACTGGCCAAGGCATTACTTAGCTTCTTGATGCTTCAGATTCCTTATTTGTAATACAGGGATAAGAAGTACTCTCTCTATCTATTTCATAGTGATATTATAAGGAATAAAGAAGCTATATGTACTTAGAACAGGGCCTAGCACATATTCATTGCCCAATAAATAAACCTGCTGCTTTCACTATGACTATTTCTCACCCCTACTATATGAAATACTATGATGAATTTCTGTAATATTTTCTCTGAGAAAATGGAAAAGGAAATATGATATTTTGATGTGGATTTTGAAAAAGGAAATAAACTAAATGATAAAATAGCAATCTTGAAAAATGTAGACATGCATCAATGACAGCGTGGAAGAACAGATACCAAAATCTCACAGGTGGGTGGGGTCACGGGTGTTTTGTATTAACTTCCTTCTGTTTATCTGTATTTTCTGGAACTTCTATAAAGGGATGCTCATTATTGTGACTATAATTTTAAAAGTTATTTCTAAAAGTAAACATAGGAGTTTTAAAAGTGAACATAGAAAAATACATAAAATAAGCAAAAGAGAAACTTTAAACCTTAAATTTGTCACGTATTCTGTTTACTTTCTTAGTCTGATTTACAGCCCTTGTCGATTCTTGATTATAATAAAAGTAAAACATTAAAATGTCCTTAAAATTTTTTGGTAATTGTCATGACTATATAACTATTTTGATGCCTTGGAAAAATAATCTAATTTTTAATTAAATTCTGAAAATTCTGTCTGTAGGTTGGAGTAATAGACTTTTCAATGTATCTCAAGGATGGGAACAGCAGTAAAGGTAGTGAAGGGTATGTACAAAGAAAATTAGGTTTCTTATTTAATGTTCTTTAATAGTATTTAAAGTTTACAGCAATACTGATTTTTTGTTGTTTACCAGAGGGTATTTTTCCCATTGTTTTTTTTTTTTTTTTTTTTTTTTTTTTTGAGAGAGATAGAATAGGGGGTGGGGGAGTGGGAGAGAAAGACCGGGCCAGGGATCAAACCCACAACCCAGGTACGTGCCCTTGACCAAGAATCAAACCCGAGACCCAGTGCTCTGATCGCTGAGCCACACTGACCAGGACACAACAATATTACTTTTTACCAGACGTGTGGAAAGAATTTCTAATGGTACAGCTTTAATAGCATCTTGCCAAAACAGTCAATTGTGTCTGCTAAACCCTAAAAAGGGTTTTAGTTAAAGTGATTGTCCTGCTTACATTGTTCAAATGAAAACAGAATTAAAAATTTTATAAGAGGAACCCAGTGCTTCATTTCTTCAAATTGTGTTTGAAAACATGGTCTTTGTTGTTGTTGTTAATCCTCACTGGAGGATATCTTTCTATTAATTTTTAGATAGAGTGGAAGGCAGGGAGGGAGGGGGAGAGAGAGAAAAAAACATCAGTATGAGAGAGAGACATCCATTGGTTGCCTCCCAAACGACCCCAACCAGGCTTGGATTGAACCTGCAGCCCAGGTACATGCCCTTGACCAGGAATCGAACCCATGACCCTTTGATCTGCAGGCCAACGCTCTAACCACTGATCAAAACCAACCAGGGCAACATGATCTTTCTTGACAAGAAGGATTGCATTCTCAGTTTGCTTAAAATTACAATATTAAATATGCATCGTGGGGTTATGTAAAATGTTAGTATTAAGGGGGAGTATATGGGTACTGCACTGCTTTTACAACTCTTGTAAATCTACAGTTATTTCAAAATAAAGGGTTTTAAAAATATTCATATACTGCCCTGGCCGGTTTGGCTCAGCGGTTAGAGCGTCGGCCTGCGGTCCGGAGAGACCTGGGTTCGGTTCCCGCTAAGGGCACGTACTTCGGTTGCAGTTTGTCCCCGGCCCTGGTTGGTCGTGCGGGTGGCAGCCACTCGATGTGTCCCTTCACGTCGATGTTTCTGTCTCTCTCTCCCTTCCTCTCTCTCCCTCCCACTCTATCTGAACAAAAAATGGAAAAATATCCTCGGGTGAGGATAAAAAAAAATAATAATAATAATAAAAATATTCATATACTACTTAGAAACTGGAAAGAAAAAGCACACTTTATGCCCTTTATAAATTTCGCAGTTGAAAACATAATCAGTTTGAAGTTTTCAGCCTTGCACATCGAGCTAAGATCATATCCCTTGTTCTTTAAGTGGTCTTGATTTTGTCTTCAGTTGAAAAGTCTGGCTGTTTCATTTTTGCCTATTGTAGATTAGTGGGTTCCTTTCAAAGGTGAACCTCCCTTTTTCACACTTTATATTTTCATGTGATAATAAATACTTGATCTTTATGAAACCTTTCTCTACCATTCATTATGAAATCCAAATAACATTTAGAAGCAAATATATATTCTTTGAGAACAACTATTCCACCAGAGTAAGCTTAATTTAGTCACTACAACTAAATGGAATATTGTTATAAAACTAGCAAAACTAAAAAAATCTGTCATTTGGGAAAAGAAAATGTTTATTCTTTAAATACTTCTGATAGATTGTAACATTATATCTCTAACTTAAGTTATTGATGTGTGTAAGCTATAACAAGGGCTTTATTAATATGGGTTTTTGTGCATCTTTTTTTTTTAAACCTTCAAATCTTTCTTGTTGATGTCAGGGGGTTATACATCAGGTCTGTCTTCTGGTTTAGTGTATCTATGCCACAATGTTCTTTCTATGTTTTATGGAAAGATTGAGGGAAAGGAAATCTTGATATTTCTAATATTATCTATTTATTTCTATTTTCTCTCTACTTCCCCGCCCCCTGCAGAGATGGCCAGATTACTGCAATTCTGGACCAGAAGAACTATGTAGAAGAACTCAACAGACATCTGAAGTAAAGAATAAATAAATGTTATTTTATTGGGGGGAAGTTTGCTGTGGGGAATGGGTAAACTGATGAGCAATGAGGATAAATTAAGACAATACTCAACAAATATATACAGAATTCCTGCTTGCTGGCCACTTAGCTAGACCCTGGAAAAATGGCACTTAACTGTTTTGGTGACTTTTAGTGAAAGGCAGTAGTAAGATTAGTATGTAATTATACATCTAGTGATTAAATAAATGCATTGTTAAGATTCTTAAATATGTGACATATAGTACATGCTCATTTAACATCATCAATAGGTACTGCGACTAAGCAAAATCATGTAGAACGAAGTCAATTTTACCATAGACTAATTGATATAAACAGGAGTTAAGTTCCTACAGTGCCCCATGAACATTATAACAAAACAATGTTGAATGAAATTACGTTACTCAAGAACCTACTGTTGACTGTTGAAATTGGTGGCCCTCTTGGGTCAGTAGATCCAGCCACACATTTCAGGATTAATCTCGTGTAAACCACTCATTATCTTAGAACCTTTAGATTAATCACATCTCACTGGCCCCTTGCATTTGTCTCTTATACATTGGATTGACAGTATTAATTTACCCTCTTTTCACCATCACTACCATTAATATACCAGGAACTCACCAAGTATTTTTCAGAACTTCCAGAACTTGAAACAGTCTCTCTCCTGAGGAAAGCTACCCAAAATTTCTTCGTATTCTCAAGTACATTGATTTTCTAAAGACAGTCAAATAATTAAGAAGATTAATATATCTATTATTATCTTGCTTATGGTGTTCCTATGAAGGAATCATTTTAATTTAATAAAGGCCATAACATGATTATATCGGTGTCGATTTAAATTGTAGTCTTGGTTCCAGAAAACTCAGGAACAATTTAAGTGCATTCTCTGGGGACCAAGAGCTAATAATGACTGCAGTGAACTATGGAGATGTTAGTCAAGCAAAGATGTGGTTACAGTTGACAATTAAAGATAAGCATAGCATTATTAATTTACTCTTCATGCCTTCATTTCTTTATCTGTAATTGGGGATATCTAATGCATAGGATTGGTGAAAGGAGTAAATGAAATAATGCGAGTAAAACCATTTAGAAGAGTGTTTGGTGTGTGGCAAGCACTTAATTCATTTGGCCTATTATATGTAAGTAAACAAAGTTTACTGTCTAGTGCATTTCTTCTTTTTCATTCAGCCGGTCCTTATCAATTACAAACTTCAGGGCCAGGGAATGGGGTGCTAAGACACACATCCCCTTTTAAGCTGTCTTAGAGCTTGCAAGTCTGTCAGATATCGTGGACATTACAATGAATGATAAGTGTGATGGGTGTTTAAAAGGAAAGTACAGGATATTGTTCTGTTTCTCAAAAGAGACCATTATTTTTTTTCTTCTCTTGATAGTGCTACTGTAAACAACCTTCAGGCAAAAGTGGACGCATTAGAAAAATCCAACACTAAACTGACAGAGGAAGTAAGTGTTTTAGAAATTCTTTGAGTTATAGAATTTAGTAATGTGCCTTTGTGGAAGGTAATTTCTCTGGAGCCTTGCAAATAAAGGACTTGACTTTTCAGGTAATACCTGCAATAGGACATGACTCCTCGTTCTGACTAAGAATGGCCAGCTGGCTTATCCCAGGGGTCTCAGTTGTCCAGTTGGACTCTGCAGGCCTAGAAACGAGGCTGATCAAATAGCTAGCTTTCTTTTGTTTTGTCTGAGCTAACTTAGAGTTAATGTTTAGCATGTAGCAAGATATTCATCATTTATTCATTCAACAAGCATTGTTGGTACTACGTATGTGCTAGAGCTAAAAAAAACTTATATGTGCCAGGCATTGATTTATGTGTGCCAAGTTGGCAAGCTCCCCACCTTCACGGGCCTGATTTTCTCCTTGGAGTGGTGGGTAGATAATATAAAGAGCACTGGTCAGAAGACCAGTGATCCCTGCTTACATGACACGCCACATGTCATGTGCTGCTAAGCAAGTCAGTCACTTGATTTCCAAAGACACAGTTTCCATGATGGTAGATGGGGGTGTTTACACTTCCTCCTTCTGGCTCACAATTCCTCTAAAGATCAGATAAGAGTACATATGTGAAAACTCTTAGAAAAGTCCCTAAAATAAGAAGAGAAAAATCACTTCATGTTTCACTTCTGATTAATATATTTGTTTCTAACCTACCAAAGTCTAAGCTACATATTTTCTTTTTCTAACTATTGTGTTACATACAGTAGGATAAATTTGGTTTAAATGAAACCAAGTTAAAACAGTAGCTAGAAAATGCTATTTAATCATTTTTTTCTTCAGAACAAACATTTTCATTGTTATAACTTTAAAACATTTTTCTTATTCAGTGTTGTGCGCTTCATTTTCTAGTTTAGATTCTTAAATTATATTAAAATTTTAATTTATGGATATAACCCTTAGAATTTTATCCTAAAAGGCGTTCAAAATATTCTGTACAGAGCCCTGGCTGTGTAGCTCAGTTGGTTAGAGTGTTGTCCCGATATGCCAAAGTTGTGAGTTCAATACCTGGTCAGGGCACATACAAGAATCAACCAATGAATGCATAACTAGGTGGAACAACAAATCAATGTTTCTCTCCCTTTCTCTCTCCCTCCCTCACTTTCTCCCTCTCACCCCTTCTCCCTCTCCCTCTCTCTCCCTCCCACTCTTTCTCTCCCCCTCCCTCCTTCCTTTCTCTCTAAAATCAATCAATCGATAAAAAAAATTCTGATTTCTGTGATTCTACTGCTATTATATTGAGGCAATGTGACATAGCAATTGAGCATGCTCTCTAGAGCTAGACCACTTGAGTTCATGTCCCAACTCTGGCTTTCTAACCCTGGGCCAATTACTTAACCTTCTGTTCCTTGGTTTACTCATCTGTAAAATGGGAATTGTAAGAACAATGAGATTCTTGTTCAATGAGATTATTTAATGCATAAGGGCCTAGACCAGTGCTTGACACATCTCCAGCACTCAGTAGTTGTTCATTTTAGTCCCTTATTCACAAGATTGTCCTCCTGACCTAGGTTTATTTTACTAAAAATATTAATTTATTCATTCACTGACATATATTTTACCAATTAGATTTACTTCCTTGAAACTTTGAACTTTTAGAGATAGGTAATTATTGTGTATAGGCTTAATAAAGAGCAGACAAAGGCTAATGAGGCCTGCCTTTTCTGATGTCCATCTATTGTGGATTTAAGAGGACAATTGTTAGAAATAAAAAAAAAACAGCCCTGGCTGGTATGGCTCAGCAGTTAGAGCATCGGCCTGCAGACCAGAGAGTCATGGGTTGAATTCCGGTCAAGGTCACGTACCTCGGTTGTGGTTCAGTCTCAGGCCCTGGTTGGGGTCGTGCAACCAATTGATGTATCTCTCTCACATCGATGCCCCCACCACCCCCGCCATCTGACGATAAATGGAAAAATAACCTCAGCTGAGGATTTAGTAAATAAACAAATAATTAAAAAACAGACCTCTTTTCCCTTCCTGAATTCTAAACTAGTATAACAAAATGAGAAAAATTAAACAGATAAAGATGTGTAAATACACACTTTATTGGGTTTTTTGTTGTTTTTTTAATCCTCACCCGAGGACATTTTTCCATTTTTTGTTCAGGTAGAGTGGGAGGGAGAGAGAGAGAGAAACATCGACGTGAAAGGGACACATCAAGTGGCTGCCACCCGCACGACCGACCAGGGCCGGGGACAAACTGCAACCGAGGTACACACCCTTAGTGGGAACTGAACCCGGGTCTCTCTGGACCGCGGGCCGACGCTCCAACCGCTGAGCCAAACCGGCCAGGGCCACACTTTATTGTTGTATAGCTGATTTAGAAAGCACATTTGGATTCGCAATTATCACTCTTTCCTACGTTGAGACCTGGAAGAAGCAGTCTGAGGGTGCACTTGGATTAGACCAGAGTTACTTCCATGCACACCGTCAGGTCCGTGGAGCAGACAGAAATGGGCTTCCAGACATGCCTCTAGAAAGCATGCCTGAGCCCTGGCTCCTGTGTCCTTCCACTTAGAACAGGGACCAAGCAGAAACGGCACCACTGCTAGTGAAGAGATAATAACAAGGGATCCTGGCCTGGCCCAGAGGAGTCTGCTCAGTTCTGTTCCCAGCCTCCCTCAGGCACCTTCACATTCTCTGTGGGGAATAAAGGTCAGTAGGTACAGAGACTGTACTTTAGGTACTTTACTTTTCCCTCCTGTGGAAGAAGGTATCGGCTTTCCCCCTTAGCAGTATTCTGCTCCTAACATTACCTTATCATTTCAGGTGCTGAAATTAAAACACTTTTTAGTGCTTAGTGGCACGTTTTAGAGTGAGAACTTCCTTAGGAGTTCATTTCTTTGCGCTTTTAAAAATCATCCGTAAAGTCTTATGGAGGGTTCATAAGATGGGTCTCAAGGCATGAAGTGTGACCTTTTAAACATTTTAGAAATAAGTATTGTAACTAAATATAAGTTATCCATGAGGACACCCTTAAGGTAAACAATCATAAGTGAACGTTTTTATACTGAAAAAAGTTGACACAAAAGCAGCAAATGGAGATACTTTAAATTTGTATCTAAGCTATTTCAAAATATTTCTCCTAAGTTCCCTATAAGGACATTTTTATGGGGTTATAGATAGCTTTCTTTCCTTCTAAGAATATCTAAGCCTGAAAATCATGACCTAGCAGATCTGAATTATCCTATCCTGTGTTAATAAAAGAAATATAAATGATTATTTTTCTAATTTTATCAACAGCTTGCAGTTGCAAACAACAGGATTATTACCTTGCAAGAAGAAATGGAGCGAGTTAAAGAGGAAAGCTCCTACATATTGGAATCCAATCGGAAGGTTAATCTTACCAGATTTATAAAATACTCCTAGAGAGAGTGTCAGTGTGCTAGTGGGGGGAGCCTCTAGAGGGCTGTTTGGAAGCAGCAAGCATCCGGTAAGTCAAGCAAACTGTTTGCACTGAGACCTCATGCAAAACTGAGTGAACAGTGAAGGTAATGGGAGGGTGGTGCCCCTTCTTCTACAAATGCTCCTTGGCTTCACGACTGTCTCCGTTCATTTAGTTAGAGGCTTGAAGAAGCAGTCTAATTCAGTTTCTTGTTTTTATGCTTTGTGCTATATTTAAGTATTATATTTGTTATATTAAATGTACCATTATTTTAGACCATTTTACTGTCTTATAAGAAGTGTTTATCGGATACCCCTGGGAAAGAGTTACTATATAAATGAATTTTCTAGATAACTTAATTCCTGAAAGTACCAAAGTTTTTATATATGTCTAAACAGATACTTTGCAAACCTCTTATATATTGTACAATTCTAAGCCTTCCTGAGTAGAGGCTATCACCACATTTAGCTCTTTGGTGACTAAAGATCGTAACTATCCACATTGGCAATTCTGTAACTAAATTAGTGGTGCTACTTTAGGGAGCTGTTGAAGTTGATAGAGTTCCTAGCACCTGTACTTAATATCCCCAGAGGGCAGTGGGTATTATTTTTTGCCTTTTATTTTTTGCTGGCATCTCTTCCTACTGCTGTTAGTATTGCTGTCTCTAGAAAGGTCTTCCTGTTCCCTTTTGTCCTCATGTTTCTACCCTACTGTGACTTAGGAATCCAGACATCCAGTTATTAAAGAGTAACTAGGCTGCCTGGCTGGTGTTGCTCAGTGGATTGAGCATCGTCCCATGGAGTGAGAGGTCCCAGTTTGATTCCCAGTCAGTGCACATGCCCGAGTTTCGGGCTCAATCCCGAGAAGAGGGCATGCAGGAGGCAGCCGATCTACTGTGATCTCTCTGGATGGTTGGAGACACCAGATATAAGATCTCTGGAGAAGAAATATATTACCATTTGAATTTTTGGCCCAATTCATAGTTGACAGTGAATGCTGTTTTGTTTTTTAAAATTCTCACCCAAGGATATGTTTATTGATTTTTAAGAGAGAGAGACACACATCAATGTGAGAGAAAAATATTGATCAGTTGCCTCCCATATGCACCTGGACTAGGGATCAAACCCGCAACCTTTTTGGTGCATGGGATGACACTCCAACCAACTGAGCCCCTGGCCAGGGCAGTGCTGTTTTGTGTTTAGAGGCTGATTTTTCAGACTTCTACTACTTAATTGTGTAAACTATCTTAGAACTTCAAACAAAATGGCAAGACATCTCCAACTAGTTCAACTTAGGATTTTTGATTTACTAAACCTCTTCGATTCTTTTGTTGTCTTCATTCATTGTTTTTTTTTTAAATTTTTATCTTTATTGATTTTAGAGAGAGAGGAAGTGAGAGGGAGAGAGAGATAGAAACATTGAAGAGAGAGAACATCGATTAACCACCTTCTGCATGCCCCACAACCCTGGGCATGTGCCCTGACTGGGAATCGAACCAGTGACCTCTTGGTGCATGGGTTGATGCTCAACCACTGGGCCACACCGGCTGAGCTTCATTCATTGTTATACCTACTTAGGTATGATCATTATTCCCTAATAAATAGCAGTGCTGGTGTTAGCTAACTGTATATACTCTCTAAATCCTTAAAAATGTGCTGTTTTATTTATCTTTTCAAGGGTCCTAAACAAGACAGAACTTCAGAAGGGCAAGCACTAAGTGAAGCAAGAAAGCATTTAAAGGAAGAGACACAATTACGACTGGTAAGCTTTGCATATGTTCTGATAGTTCAGGAACATGTCAGAATGTAATGGCCTGCTTAGAGGTTTAAACCTCACAGACCAAGGTCAGGGATATCCGTGGTGTTCTGATACACTTTTATGGATCTGATAAAACTGTTTCTCACTCTTGTTAACCCATGTTCCCTATAATGCGTTCTCAGTCCATTTTCTGAGTATTCTCAACAGCTGATAGGATTTTGCCCATCTTTATTTTATTTTATTTTATTTATTTATTTATTTTGCTTTTATAGTTTGTATTGCAAAAACATTAGGTATATAGAACCTGATTTTTAAACAATACAATCCCCCCTCCCCACCTCAGTCCTCACCCCTGCGAAGACTCTGATATGTCTCCTTGGAGGGGGCAGCTCCTGTTTTCATTAGTAAGAATCATTAATGTAGAGTTATACTCTTTCACTTTTAGCTCTTATTTCTTAATTTATTCTAGTTCTTATTCATAAGTAAAAAAATGTGTCATTGATATTAGCCTTAAAGTATTTTCACAATAAAAAAGATATATATAAGAATTCTATACTAAGGAATAATATTTTTGAACTATATTTTATCCAAGTATTTGTATATTAATACACCTGTGGTGTTACTATATTAACTCTTCTGCAATTTAGATAGTAGGACAAACAAAAGGATTCCCCCCCCCCTTTCCCAATAGTGTCTCTAACAATCGGGAGAAGGCTGAAAATAAGGAGTGACCTGATTTGTACTAAAAATTATCACAGCCCGGCCCGTGTGGCTCAGTGGTTGAGCATTGACCATGCACCAAGAGGATGTCAGTTCAATTCCCAGTCAGGGCACATGCCCAAGTTGTGGGCCTGGTCCCCAGTGGGGGGCATGCAGGAGGCTGTCAGTCGATGTTCTCTCTCATCGATGTTTCTATCTCTCTCCCTTCATCTCTCTTTAAAATCAATAAAGGAAAAAAACTTTTTTTCATTATCACAGACCAGTAGTGTATAGAACAGAATTTTAGGTTTTCTCAGAAAACAATATTGTTTTTACATCCTTGAAATAATTTTCATTTTTTTCTATGTATTTGTGAATTAGCTCTCAAAATGCTTTTCATAGGGAATCGCCTACAAATAATACATGTAGACTTTATAAGAACAGTCTGATTCCTTTTCTGTCAAAAAAATTTTTTTTCATTATCACAAACCAGTAGTGTATAGGACAGAATTTTAGGTTTTCTGAGAAAACAATATCATTTTTACATCCTTGAAATATTTTTCATTTTCCTTCTATGTATTTGTGAATTCGCTCTCAAAATACTTTCCATAGGAAATCACCTACAAATAATACATGTAGGCTTTATAAGAACAGTCTGATTCCTTTTCTCTCCTGCTAACCATGTTCAGAGGAGTGCATCAGTTAAGCACCTTGCGATAAAAATTTTACACAAAATGTTTCACATCATTGTATCACAATAATGTAAATATTAAAAAAGGAAAAAAAACCAAGATAGTAGGCAAGGTCCCAGGTATGCCCTAGGCATAGCCTGTATGCAGAAGAATGCCGAGTGTTTGTAGGTTTGATCATCCAAATAATGTTGCAGTAATAATGACTGAAACAAAAAAGGGAGGAGGGCCCTGGCCAGTTTGGCTCAGCGGTTAGAGCATAGGCCTGCAGTCCCTAGAGACTGTTTTGGTTCCCTCTAAGGGCCCATATCTCGGTTGCAGTTTGTTCCCGACCCTCGTTGGTTGTGCGGGTGGCAGCCACTTGATGTGTCCCTTTTACATCGATGTTTCTCTCTCTCTCTTCCTCTCTCTCTCTCCTGCACTACCTGAACAAAAAATGGAAAAATGTCCTCGGGTGAGGATAAAAAAAAGAAAGGGGGGGGCAGTCATGTTAAGTGAATATAAAAACTCAAGTTAGCCATACTGACTATTCACAGTAATTGAAATGTTACCCTGGAGACGCAAAGTATCTTTTGGGCTTCTTGGGCGCTTGATAATGTCAGCAACATCCAAACTGAAGAGAATTGCATCTGCTTCATTTTGTGCTGGCTGCCATAACATTTATATATATATATATTTCTTTTTTTGTTATTTTTCGTTTTTTATTTTATTTTTTTAATTAATTAAGTAATTTCTGTTACAAATGTTTCTCCTTTTCCCCCCCACTGATTGGCCCCTCTCCCTCCCTCCCCGCCCTGTCCATAGCATTATTGTCCATGTCCATTGTTCATGCATACATGCATATAAGTTCTGTGGTTTATCTCTCCCCCACTACCCCCTCTTCTGGGGATTGTCAGTCTGTACCCCACTTCCATGTCTCTGGGACTATCCCATTCCTCAGACTGTTGTGTTCATTATATTCCACAAATAAGTGAGATCATATGATACTTGTCTTTCTCTGTTTGGCTTGTTTCACTTAGGATAATACTTTCCAAGTCCCTCCATGTCATCTCAAAGGATAAGAGATCTTTCTTTATTATACCTGCATAGTACTCCCTTTTGTATATGTACGACAGCTTTTTTATCCATGAGTCTACTAATGGGCATTTGGGCTGTTTCCAGATCTTAGCTATTGTAAATAGTGCTGCTACAAACATGGGGGTACATATATTCTTTCTGATTGGTGTTTCAGCCTCCTTAGGGTATATTCCTAGAAGTGGGATCACTGGGTCAAATGGAAGTTCAATTTTTAATTTTTTGAGGTAACACCATACTGTTTTCCATAGTGGCTGCACCAGTCTGCATTCCCACCAGCAGTGTACTAGAGTCCCCTTTTCTCCACACCCTCGCCAACACTTGTTGGATGATTTGTTGATGGCGGCCATTCTGACAGTGTCAGGTGATACCTCATTGTTGTTTTAATTGGCATCTCTCTGATAATTAGTGATGTTGAGCATTTCTTTTTTTTTCATCCTCACCTGAGGACATTTTTCCATTTTTTGTTCAGATAGAGTGGGAGGGAGACAGAGAGGGAGAGAGAAACATCGACGTGAAAAGGACACATCGAGTGGTTGCCAGCCACACAACCCAACCAAGGCCGTGAACAAACTGCAACCAAGATACGTGCCCTTAGCGGGAACCAAATCCTGCTCTCTCTGGACCGCAGGCCGACGCTGTAACCGCTGAGCCAAACTAGCCAGGGCGAGCATTTCTTCATATATCTCTTAGCCATTTGTATGTCCTGTTTGGCGAGGTGTCTGTTTAGTTCTTCTGCCCAATTTTTTTAATTGGGTTCTTTGTCTTCCTTTGGTTGAGTTGTATGAGTATTCTATATATATTGGAAATTAACCCCTTATCTGATATATCATGGACAGTTATGTTCTCCCATACAGTGAGTTGCCTTTTCCATTTTGATGATTATATCTTTTACTATGCAGAAGCTTTTAAGTTTGATGTAGTGTTCATTTTCTCCTTTGTTTCTATTGCCTTAGGTGATGTATCAGTGAAAATTCTGCTGCGTATGATGTCTGAAATTTTGTTGCCTACAGTTTCTTCTAGGATTTTTATGGATTAATGAGTCACGTTTAGGTCTTTTATCCATTTTGAGTTTATTCTTGTGTATGGTGTAACTTGATGGTCAAGCTTCATTTTTTTTTTTTTTTTTTTTTTGCATGTACCTGTCCAATTTTCCCAACACCATTTATTAAAGAAGCTGTCTTTACTACACTGTATGGAGTGGCGTAAAGACACTTGCCCCTTTTGTCAAATATTAATTGAGCATATTGCCTTGGGTCCATTTCTGGGTTCTCTGTTCTGTTTCATTAGTCTATCTGCCTGTTCTTGTGCCAGTACCAGGCTGTTTTGATTACAGTGGCTTTGTAGTATAACCTGAAATCTGGTAATGTGATTCTTCCAACTTTGTTCCTCTTTTTCAACATTGCTGTGGCTATTCGAGGTCTTTTTTGGTTCCATATGAACTTTTGAAGTATTTGTTTTGTTCTATGAAGTATGTCGTTGGTATTTTGATGGGGATTGCATTGAATCTATACATTACTTGGGGTAGTATGGGCATTTTAATGATGTTGATTCTTCCAATCCATGAGCAAGGTATGTGCTTTCACTTTTTTATATCTTTCTCTGTTTCTTTTTTCAATGACTTGTAGTTTTCTGTTAATAGGTCCTTTATTTCTTTGGTTAAGTTTATTCCTAGGTATCTTAATGTTTTTGCCACAATGGTTAATGGGATTGTTTTTTCAGTTTCTTTCTGTGACTTCATCATTGGTGTATAAGAATGCCATCGATTTCTTGATGTTAATTTTGCATCCTGCTACTTTGCCAAATTCATTTATTAAGTCTAGTAAATTTTTGATGGAGTCTTTGGGGTTTTCTGCGTATAGTATCATGTCATCTGTGAATAATGACAGTTTCACTTCCTCCTTTCCAATTAGGATCCCTTTTATTTTTACTTCCTGTCTGATTGCTGTGGCTAAGACTTCCAGTACTTTGTTAAATAAGAGTGGCAAAAGTGGGCATCCTTGTCTTGTTCCTGTCCTTAAGGGAAATGCTTTTAATTTTTGTCCATTGAGTGTGATGTTGGCTGTAGGTCTTTCATATATGGCCTTTATTATGTCGAGATATGATCCCTCTATTCCCAGATTGCTGAGCGTTTTTATCAGAAATGGGTGCTGGATTTTGTCGAATGCTTTTTCAGCATCTATTGATATGATCATATGATTTTTATCTTTCATTTTGTTTATGTGGTGTATCACATTTATTGATTTGCAAATATTGTACCAGCCTTGCATCCCTGGGATGAATCCCACTTGGTCATGGTGGATAATTTTTTTGGTGTATTGCTGGATCCGATTTGCTAGTATTTTGTTCAGGATTTTGGTGTCTATGTTCATCAGGGATATTGGCCTGTAGTTTTCTTTCCTTGTAGTGTCTTTTTCTGGTTTTGGAATTAGAATTATGCTGGCTTCATAAAACGAGTTTGGAAGTCTTCCTTCTTGAATTTTTTGAAATAGTTTGAGGAGAATGGGTATTAGTTCTTAGAATATTCGGTAAAATTCCCCCATGAAGCCGTCTAGGCCTGGGCTTTTGTTTGCTGGGAGAGTCTTGACAACCTCTTCAATTTCCTTAGTTGTTATTGGTCTGTTCAAGTTTTCTATCTCTTCCCGATTCATTTTTGGGAGACTCTGTGTTTCTAGAAATTTGTCCATTTCACTTAGATTGTCAAATTTGTTGCCGTGTAATTGTTCATAATATTTGTTAATGATCCTTTGTATTTCTGTTGTGTCCGTTATTATTTCTCCTCTTTCATTTCTGATTTTGTGTATTTGGGTTCTCTCTCTTTGTTTCTTGGTGAGTCTAGCTAAGGGTCCATCAATCTTGTTTATCTTTTCGAAAAACCAGCTCTTTGTTTCATTGATCCTTTGAATTGGTTTTAGGTTTTGTTTTGGTTTTTTTTGGTCTCTATTTTATTTATTTCTGCTCTGATCTTTACTGTTTCCTTCCTTCTACTTGCTCTGGGGTTTTCTTTTTGTTTGCTTTCTAGTTCTTTAAGTTGTGAGGTTAGATAGTTTATTAGAAATTTTTCTCTTTCTTGAGGTAGGCCTGTAGTGCTATCAACTTCCCTCTCAGAACTGCTTTCACTGTATCCCATAGATTTTGTGTTGTTGTGTGTTCATTTTCATTGGTTTCCAGGAATTTTTAATTTCTTCCTTGATCTTCATGGTAACCCATTCATTGTTCAGTAACATGCTATTTAGCCTCCATGTGTTGAAATGTCTTTGCATGTTCTTGTTGCAATTGATTTCTAGTTTCATACCATTGTGATCTGAGAAGATGCTTGATATGATTTTAATCTTCTTGAACTTGTAGAGATTTAGTTTGTGCCCTAACATGTGGTCTGTCTTTGAGAAATGACCCATGTGCACTTGAGAAGAATGTGAATTCTGCACTTTGGGGGTGTAATTCTCTGTAGATGTCTATTGAATCCATTTGATCTAGCGCTTCATTTAGAGTCTGTGTTTCCTTGTTAATTTTTTTGTCCAGATGATCTATCCAGTGATAGCAACGGGGTATTGAAGTCCCCTGCTATGATTGTATTGCTGTTGATTTTTCCTTTGAAGTCCTCCAAAAGATTTTTAATATATGTTGGTGCTCCTATATTTGGTGCCTTTATGTTTACCAAGGTTATATCTTTCTGTTGAATAGATCCTTTGAATATTATGTAGTGGCCTTCCTTCTTTGTCTCTAGTTATGGTCTTCATTTTGAAATCTATTTTATCAGATATGAATATTGCTACCCCAGCTTTTTTTTTGCTTTTCATTTGTTGAAAGATTTTTTTCCATCCCTTCACTTTCAACCTATGTAAGCCTTTTGTTGTGAGGTGGGTTTCTTTTAAACAACATATATGTTAGTCATGCTTTCTTATCCAGTCAGCTACTCTGTGTCTATATTGGAGCATTGAAACCATTCACATTTAAGGTGATAATTGATATGTACTTATTTATTGCCAATTTTGTTTAGTGTGGTTCTATTTTTCTTCCTATTTCTTCTACAATTTACAGCAGTCCTATTAGCATATCTTGCAGTGCTGGTTTGGTGTTAATATATTCCCTTAGCCTTTTTTTGTCTGGGAAGGTCTTTATTTGATCTTCTATTTTGAATGATAGCCTTGCTGGATAGAGTAGTCTTGGATTCAGATCCTTGTTTTTCATGACCTTGATTACTTCTTGCCACTCTCTTCTGGCCTGTAGTGTTTCTGTTGAGAAGTCAGCTGAGAGCCTTATGGGGTTCCTTTGTAGGTAACCTGTTGCTTATCTCTTGCTGCCTTAAGGATTCTCTCTTTGTCTTTAAATTTTGGCATTTTGATTACTATGTGTCTTGGTGTGGGCTTGTTTGAGTTCTTCTTGGGGCTCTCTCTGTGCTTCCTTAACTTGAATGCCTTCTTCCTTCACCAAGTTAGGAAAGTTTTCTGTCACTATTTGTTCTCTAACTCTTTCCCATTTTCTTCCTCTTCAGGGACTCTATGATGCAAATGTTATTATGTTCCAGTTGTCCCACAGTTCTCTTCAGCTGTCTTCCTGTTTTTTAATTGTTTTTTTCCTTTTGGTTTTCTGATTGGTTGATTTTTTTCTATCCTGTCTTCTAATTCACTGATCTGCTGGTCCTCAGCTTTCTCTACTCTGCTGGTTAGTCCTTCCATCCTTCCATTGTGTTCTTAATTTCTGCTATGTCATTCTTCATTTCCACTTGGTTGGTTTTTTATGTTTCTATATCTTTACTCAAGTTGCTGATGTCCTTACTCATGTTGTTGAACTTCCTTAAGATCATGGCTCTGAACTCTACCTGTGATAATTTGCTTAGCTGCATTTCATTTATCTCATCTTTGATAGAGTTCTCTTGTTCTTTGATTTTGGCTTTATTTCTTTGTTTCACCATTTTGGCTAACTCAGTGGGTTTTGGAGCCTGCCAAATTTTTCCTGTGGGTGTTGATGTTCTGCTGTTTGTGGCTCCCCCTCCTGGGTTTGGATGAGCCTGGGTGGGCCCACGTTAAACACCACTGTCAAGTCTTACTTTCCTGGGTAGATTTGCAAGCCCAGGAAAGGTTCAGTTATCCTCTAGCTTTGTCCTGGAGGCTAGTAGACTCAGTTACTCAGTGCCTTGGACTGTAGCCCTGGTGTTCTGCATAAGAGGATTTCCTGAAGGTGAAATAGATGCTGGTTGTTAATGAGCTTCAATTTGCATTTCTTTTTCTCACCTGGGAAAGGCTGAACATTCAAGGGTAGGAGGCTGCTGCTTTTCCCCACAGCTCTGGGAAGGAGCACACTGGCCACCATCCTTTGTGGCTGCAACTCAGCAAAAACTCTGAGTGCCCTACAAATCCCAGGTGTCCTTACAGAGTTCCAGCCCAGTCTGCCCTCCCTCTGCCATAGCCCCCAGGTGAGTGGCTGTGGCTATTTTAGCACACTGTCTCGGCTCTCTGTGCTATGGAGTGGGCTTGGTCTTTATTTCCCAAGGGCGCTGCTTACATCTAAGACTGCTGCTGTCAGTGGGCTCCCAGCCTGCCACCCTCTCATGCCTCTGCAGATCTTACCAGTGTCCCTGGTTATATGGTCCTGTCCTACTGCTTTTCTGTTGCTTTTTTCTGAGAATTTGTCTTTATTTTAGTTATAATTCCCTTTTGGTCCTGGGAGATCGTCTGTGTAGCTTCTATTCACTGCACCTCCATTTTGACATCCTCTAAGCCTATCGTGTGCGCAGCTGGGTCACACAGGCCTTTCTGGTGCCCCTGCACCCTGCAGGTCTCGCGGGTAACTGGATCGCAAAGTCCCTTTGGGGACCCGGCTCTATGCCTATGTTATGGGCTGCTGGGTTGCACAGCCCTCTCTAGTGCTTCAGCCCCCCACAGGTCCTGCGGGGTAACTAGATGGCACAGTCCTTGCTGGGTCCCGCAGGCCTCTCTGGTTCTTCAGCACCCCGCAGTCCCCATGGCATGCTAGATCACACAGTCCCTGCTGGGTCATACAGTCCTCTCTGGTGCTTCAGCACCCCGCAGGTCCCACGGGTAATTGGATGGCACAGTTTCTGCTGGGTCGTACAGGCCTCTCTGGTGCTTCGGCACCCTGCAGGCCCCGTGGATAACTAGATCACTCAGTCCCTGCTGGGTCGCACAGTCCTCTCTGGTGCTTCAACCCCCAGAGGGTCCCACGGGTAGCTAGATCGCACAGTCCCTGCTGGGTCGCACAGGCCTCTCTTGTGTTTCAGCACCCAGCAGGTCCCACTGGTAACTGGATCACACAGTCCCTGCTGGGTCGCACAGGCCTCTTTGGTGCCCCCGCACCATGCAGTTCCCGTAGGCGGGCAGCTGGATCGCACCAGTCTCTCTCGGGCTCTGGCTTCCCACTGCTCTTGTGAGCTGCTGGACCACACAGGCCTCTGTGAGCCCCAGGTCCCACCACTGGTGGCTGGGGAGTTCTCCTGCCCCGTGGGACTCAACTCCTGCTCAGCTCTTGCTGTAGTGTTTGGGGATGGGTCTCAGCTGCTGGTCTGTGCTTCTGTTGCCTTGGGATGGATGTCTGCTCCCCAGCCTCTGTTGCTGGGGGTATATCTCGACTCTGATCAGGCTGCTACTATGGGGGATGGTGCTGGGCTTTGGGCTGTCTGCAGCTTCTGTGACCAGCACCTTGGGAGCTCCACTACTGTGCACTGGTCTGTGTTGACACAGTGTCCACTCGTCCATTGGTGCCAGGTACACTGGTGGGCTCAGGTTGCTGGGCCCTAGCCACTCCCACTGCCTCCTCCCAGGGAAGACCCGGGATCTTCCAAAATGGTGGGACCTCCCCGCAGCACAGGGAAAAGCGTCCTGAAGGGCCGCTTACCACGGTAGCTGGCTGCTCCGTCCACAGCACAGGAACCTTCTGCTCCGCAGCTCTGCACTGCTCGGGTTTCGTCGTCCACTTTCACATCCATTCACACTCTCTTACACACTCGCTCACTCTCTCACACACTCACCCTCCCTCCAGTCCTGCCCGCCGCCATCTTCAATCTTCTCTATATATATTTCTATAATAAGACTTGACATAAGTTGTCTGTCTTAACATCTGATGAAGTGCCTCAGGTGTGTGTGTATTTTAGACAAAGTAAATAGCATTACCTTTGGCCTAGTGAGCTCTTCAGATTCATAAATTATTGAATAAATGTTATTGTGATTATCCTAATTATTCTTGTTAATGTCTCTGCATTGGATGAGAGCTTATAGCTCTTTTTGTCAAAATCTTCAGACCTGAGAGTTTGGTGTACCTTTTCCTGTGGAATTGGTTGGTTTGTACTTAGACGAGGAGAGAGTAAGCACTTTATTTCCCTTTGGGGCAGGATGTTGAGAAAGAACTGGAGATCCAGATCAGCATGAGACAGGAGATGGAGTTGGCCATGAAGATGCTGGAGAAGGATGTCTGTGAGAAGCAGGACGCCCTGGTGTGTCTGCGGCAGCAGCTGGACGACCTCAGGGCTCTGAAGCATGAACTTGCCTTTAAGCTGCAGGTGAGGGAAATAGGAGGAACAGGCTCATGCTCTCTACAGTCCCAGGGCATCCTTCCACCCCTCGTTTAGAATTACACTTTAAATACAAGAAGGAAGAGTCACATCTCATTTTGAGGCGAGTTGCCTGTAAACCACTTTAGGAATCTGACCTCTGCATGACCACTTTTCAGACTGGGAAAGAACGTCTTTATCCTATTAGAATCTCTACTCTGTAGTCTAACCCATCAGATGAGTTATATATTCCATTAGCGTTTATACTGGAATATGCTAAATTGATGAACCTTCTAGTATTGATTTTTGTGACAAAGTTATATATAACGGTATTAATTTTAAACATTACTTTTTGTTTTTCTCTACAATTGGAAATTAACTGATTCTCAAATAGATGAGCATTTCTATTTCTCTTATTTCCCACTTACCATTAGGTTCGAAAGGCATATGTAAGTTATTTCAGGATTTTATGTTATATATACATCACTCATAATTCTTTTCCAAAACAGAGTTCAGATTTAGGAGTAAAACAGAAAAGTGAACTAAACAGTCGCTTGGAAGAGAAGACGAACCAGATGGCTGCTACCATTAAACAACTTGAACAAAGGTAAAGTGCTGTTTCTTTAGTGAAGCACTCTGGGCCCGCAGTGCTGGGAGTAGACAAAGTATATGAAATTCTCCCAGCTTTACATCAGGCGTGCTGGCAGAAAACCCATAAAATCTTGTGTTTTCTAAAATGTCGCTGAAAATGTTTATCAGAAACATCAGCCTTTCACGACTGTTTTGAATGGCAGAACTCAAACCCTCTCACTCAGTCCCGTTTCAGTGTCGTGTGTTAGGGGAGGGATACTTAACCACGGTGAGAGGACTTTCGAACATGTTTGTGATTTTGTTATTTATTGTTCATCACTCAAGTCTGAATATTTTGGTGCAAGGTGATGTGGGGATACTGAGGGCACTTCTCGTAAGTTCAGCCCCTTCGCTCCCCCCCCAGGAACCGTCCTGCAGCTTCCACTTCCACCTCCCACCACAGCTCTCAAGTCGGTCTCCAGCTCTGCCCTCCATCTGGAGACCAGTCTTGCATTTTCATCCTGCGACCAGCTATTTCCCACCAGTTCCTACCATTCACGAAGTAATCCTTTCCCTGAGCTACTCCTTTATTTCTCTTTTGGTCTAAAAACACCATTTTCTTCCTTGGTGCCAAGAGAAGTGGCTGAGACCTGGAGCTTGAATGAGCCACGGCAGCCACGGTCATTCAGTGTTGCCAGCCTGTGTTGCCACCTTGACACCCACTGATCACTCTCTTAAACTTGAACAAAACTAAACGACTTACTGGTCCCTGGACATGCTTCCCTTTTTTCCCATCCATTTTTTCCCTAATAGTTCCACCAACTAGAAATGCCCTTCCTCGCCTCACTTTCTTGTTCTTCAGATACATCATTTACTTTCAGACTCAAATGCTACCTACCCAAAGCTTCCTCTGGTACTTTTTCCCAGCTAAAAAACAATCTGCCAAATCTGTCCATGTGGAAATTCCCATGGCCTATATCCATACCTGCCCATACTGCTTATAGCACTTCTCATTTTTGCCTTACCTTATACCCTTGATATATGTATCATGTCTTCTGATCAGAGTGTGAGCTCCTTAAGGTTAGTTAACTAATTTGTTAAGTTCCCTCATTGGATCTGTCACAGTGCCTTGCATTTATAAGGCATTCACTTAGTAGATGCATGAATGAATGGATGGGTGACTTTTTAAAAAATGTTTTTATTGATTTTTTTAGAGAGAGAGGAAGGGAGAGAGAGATAGATACATCAATTGGCTGCCTTCTGCATGCCTCCTACTGAGGATCAAGCCTGCAACCCGGCATGTGCCCTGATCCAGAATCAAACCCGGACCTCTCAGTCCATAGGATGACGCTCAGTCCATTGAACCATACTGGCCGGGCCTGGGTGACTTCTTTTATTCAGATGATTCTTGACCAGGGAGGGTCCTGAACGGCACTGAATATTAATGTTAACTGAAAAATTGTAAGATTGGCTGATTTTAAATAAAAAGGTCTCTGTTTATCGAGGAAGTTATTTAAGTGCTTGCCAGAAGCAATTATATGTTTATGATTCAACAAATCAATTTTAGTGTTCATAAATTATGTATGTGAAATGTATAACATTGTTTTTCAATGGTTTTTTGAAACCATTTTGGCATTTAAAGCTGACAGAATTTAAAAAATGACATCTCTTCAAGTATTAAGCTGACTTATTCTCTTGCTATTTTTCTTTTTCCTGTTTATTCATTTTCTCATTCCCCTTTCACTCCCATTTTTATTTTTATTTTATTAATTTAGTGAAAAGGATTTGGTGAAACAGGCAAAGACCTTAAATAGTGTAGCAAATAAATTGGTCCCCAAACATCATTAGGCGTTTTGCAGTTGGTCACCTCGCAAGTCCGATATCACAATTTAACAGTAAAAGAAAGAAATCTGAAAGCTATTACATTTAGGCTCTGATTTATATAAAACATTACCAAAAATTGACTTTGAATTTGTTGGACTTTTGAAAAAAAAACAATTTGATATATAGGCTGTTTTTTCTTCTTTATTTTCTCCCCAGAGTTAGAAAATTTAGTATAAGTTCTTAATTAAATGCCAAATAAACTTCAAAAAGTTACTCTTGAGTTGACCAATAAATAAATATTCCGTTTTAAAAAGAAGCCTAGGGAATTGAAGCTTTGTACATATATTATTGATGCCTTTACAACCCAGTCCCTGACAGTATCACATTCTAGATGCATTGTCTCTGTTAGCGAGCCTGTTCTGCCATTGCGATGTAGTGAACTAGAGGTGACTACCATATGGACTTGGACTCTTCTCAAGTAGTTGTGTCTCTTAAGCCATGACCCCTTTCACTTTTGTTATATAGGTTTAATCCCCAAGCCAGGATAAGTACTTAGTATTTCACTACAGTAACCAAATTGCTTGCCTTAGTGACTCTGGGGGTGGGAAAAACAGCATCCTTACATTTCTTTAAAGTACATAGAGATAAAGTTAGCAATTAGGTAACTTACGATAACATAATAATGTGGAAGCTTGGGAAAACCCTCCTAATATGTGTCATCTTCTACCTCTGCCATTTTCCTGCAATTCCACTTTCTATTTAAGTAGTTCAGAGGGAATAATTTTAGTAAAAACACTCCTCTCCTATTAAAAAAAAAAAATACACTACACATATTTTAAATCTATTGTGCTTTTCCTTTTGGAGTACAGATGACAAGGAATTGACATGAGTGATGGTTTCCTGCCTAGAATTCCATGCTAGAAATATTTTCTTAAGAGTTTGTTTCTGTTACGTTTTGTTTAGATGGGGATTTGCTAAGTTTCTAGGAAACTAACAATCTAATTATTAGGAAACCATTCCAGAATAGGAAATAGATAAATGATAAAAACATATTCTTTATAATTATTTGATCTAAAAATAAAGATTTCCAATAGACGTCCACAAACAATAATAAGCAGGGCGTCTTTCTCTAAGTGACTACAAATGTAACCCTTTATAGGCTTTACAGTGTAAATACTCCTATAAATAATGTGATTTTTTTAAAATGACTTGATTTGGGGGAACAAGCTTTAATAAGCCTTCATCCCTTCAAAAAGTCTTGGCAACTTTTTTTGTTCTCTTTTTTCATTCTGTTATTATTTGCAGCATTTCAGCTGCTTAGGTTGGGATAAAAATAACCCCTTCACTTCCTGCTCCTGAAATTCTATACCTTCCTGGAAAAACCAGAATTAAGAAGATAAGTTAGATTTCATGTATGCTTTTATAGGTCCTTGCAGACTTGAACCAAAGGCAAGGCAAAGAGCACATGGCCTACCTCAGGGAGGATCCTGTGCTTTCAATTTATTTTACTTCTTATAATTTGCACCTATTTTTTTAACTTCAACATTTTGTGGTGAATTGCCTTTTCTATGAGCATTTAGAAAGAGTGCTCAAACACCAAAATAAAAACATTTTAAAGACTACACATAGCATGCTTCCAAATTGTATTATATAGAGCCCTGGGTGTTTCACCTCTTAGAACATGCTTCTTTATAGGTGCAAAGTTATATGGAAGAAAACATTCATCAGAATCTTCCAGAGAATATGGTCAGGAATTCTATGAAGGTCCCATGCTGGATTTTTTGTCCACTTATTGACACACCACTTGGTAGGAATAGAAAAGAAAAGAGATGGCCAAACTCTGACAAAGGCTTCTCCTTATGTATATTGTCCAATGATTTAATACAATTCGAGGTTTAGGGGAAGGACCAGGAAAATGTTCCAGTTCCGTATATAAGAAGGTAGTTGCCCACTTGCAAGTTCCAGTTATGTGTATACAACAGAAATATAAAGTACCAAACCAATTAGGAAATAAAAACAAACAACAAAAAAAGTGGATTTAACTTTAATTACTGTGTGCTTGAGGTTGGCTTTGGATATGGATTTTCTAAAAAGTGATGTTTTGTTGTTTATCATCTAATGGCTGTAAACTGTAGTACTAGAATAAAAAAAAAATGGAAAATCACTTTTCTTCTGCCTGGTTCACCTTCATCTTGCTTTTCTTTAAAATTAGTTTCTTCTCCATCTCCCTCCGCGCCCCCCCCCCCCCACCTCCCCATGTCTTTCCTTGTGCCCTCCAAAGTTTTTTTCCTCTCTCAGTCTCTCCCTCCATGCCTTCTTCCTTGGGTTTTATGTTGTGTTGTGAATTTGGTCTTCCTCCCCACCATGGCTTTTGTTTTTTATCACAAGTTCATGTGGCTCACATCCAGATTGCGCCAGGCTGAGCAAGGCCGCCAGTCTGCTGAACTGGACAACCGGCTCTTCAAGCAGGACTTCGGAGACAAGATCAACAGCCTGCAGCTGGAAGTGGATGCGCTCACCAGGCAGCGGTGAAGAGAGGGTGCTGGAGCTGACAGGGTGGTCGTGGGTAACTCTGAGGCTGGACAGCAAGAGAAGGGGTCTGATGATCCAGCCATCTCTACTCTCTTTGCGGTGCCCTTTTTCTGACATGAAAATTCTGAAAGTTCCACATACCTCAGCATTCCCAAAATCTTGTTAACATCCTTTGCGATCAAAGAATTAGAATGTTACAACCCAAGGCCCCAGATATGTAGAAAAGAGTAAGAGACTTAATAGCCAACACAACACTAATAGTAACTATTTTCTGAATGCTTACTGTATGCAAAATACTTTGCTAAGCACTTTACGTGCATTTTCTCCTAACATCTTCCCATCAACCCTACGAGCAGGTGATCTTATTACCCCCCCTTTCAGATGAAATTAAAGTTTAGAGGGATTCAATTTGTCCAGATTCACACAATTAAGCTAAAGTGCAACATTCTAATTTAAAAACCTGTCTCTCTGACTCTAAGCCCCTAACCAACTTTTCCATGTTCTTTCTCAAACGAGCCTCGATTCTGTGCTAAAGCCATGAACCTCAAACAAATAGAACTTGGGCGTTGAATAGAAAAGCATGTAGCTGCTAAGGACGCTGGCAGTTGGTGGTGTAGCTGGGGACTGACTGCTGTAACTATGGGGAGAGACGTCAGTTCACATGAAATGGGACTCCAGTGTCAGTACTTTCATACTGAATCTTGCTGAAAATTTATAAATACTGCCTTTCAGTTGTAGTAAATCCTACTGGTTGTCATTCAGTTGCCCACACGCTTTGTAAAGAGTTCATATTGAATATTGACATCCGGAGAGGTAATCCTCAAGCACTAGGAGATCCTAAACAAGTACATTTTAGTCTAAGAGAGACTAAACATGTATGTGTTTTAGTGTTACTGGCTTTATTATATTGTAGTTTAGTTGTCACCCTGGCTGGTTTGGCTCAGCGGTTAGAGCGTCGGCCTGCAGACCAGAGTCCTGGGTTCGGTTCCCGCTAGGGGCATGTACCAAAAATAAGTAAATAAATAAATCAGTAAATAAATAAATAAAAGCTGGCCCTCCCTTTTAAAAAATAAATAAAACCTAGTTGTCCATATATATGGTAACTTTTTATTAATCAAGTATTAAAATGTTAATTATTAAACTTTAAGGGTTTGGTATTTTTAGAATATGAATACAGAAATCCAAATGTTCATCCTTTTCCTCTCCCACCTGTCCCAGGAACCAGCTGGAGTTAGAACTGAAACAGGAAAGAGAAAGAAGGTTACAGAGCAACAGGAGCATCCCAGGAAGGGGTTCCCAGAAGCCAGAACCCAAAACGGTAAAAACTGTTACTCCCTTGTTCATGTATTTACTACTTAGAGGCCACCTTGATGGGCCAGATGGTTTGCTGTCATGGAACTCCTGCTAATTGTTATGGCCCGGAGCATGGAGCTAGCAGGCTAGAGCGGGAGTGAACGCAGGGGCTCCTGCTTCTGAGCCTACCTCTAAGAAGCTCTCATTTGGAAAAGGGGATTAAAACCCATGTTTTCCAGTGGCCCGTTTATTCTTTTAAATTTCAAGTAAGATCATTTTGGTATTTTAACAAAAATATGTACTTCTTGGACTTCTGCTAATATTTTTAATAGTATGGTATAGTAATCCCTCCCCTACCCTGAATTTTCCTTTAACAGAATTGTCTTAAATGTGGATTTGCTTGTATAGACCTCTTTCAAAATCATGAGGACTTCAGTTTTAGCAAACTCAAGGTACTTTTTTGGGGGGAAATTAGAAAAAGATGGAACTAGGCGTGAGGAAGGGAAATAATGTAGAGTGGTTTAAAGAGCCAAAGTAGAAGTTTCTAAGAATAGTCTCAGGACAGAGACCTCCAGCACCCGAAGAGGCAAGGGAGCTAAAAGTGGGTAAGATCATCTCTGGGACCCGGAAAACAAGAGCCAGCCTCTTCAAAAAATATAACTAGAAAAGCATTAAATACTTTTTCCATTAAAGACAGGGTAAAAATTACCTTTTTGGTACATTTATATTTAAGAAAATGGGACAAATTTATAAGCTTCTTATTTAAGATTTCTAGAGAGTGTGCTCTTAATTTGCTGGAGAGTAGAAAAGAATGATAAATAGAAATTTATCATGCAGTATTCATTACTACTAATTTACAGTGTGCAAAGTGCCACTATGTAGCCTGCTGTCTATATTATTTTGGTTTGGCAAATATCAAATGTACTTATAAGGATTTACAGAGGTTTAACCAAAATCCTGGCCAATCTTACCCCGTTTGTCCAGTGAGGCCTTGGGTTTCTCAATCAGGAATTGCCCTGCAGTAGGGTTTCCCGCAGGGTGAATAGCACCTTGACTTCCCTTCCTTTGTACTTGTGGTCTGAGGACGTGCATTATACTTTTGGAGGCTGATGGGCAGCATTTCAAGGCAGGAATCAGTGTGTGTGCTCCAGAAGAATCTGTCTCTAAAAACTGCAGATAGAAGTGCAGTTTGGAGCCTTACATTGGTCTTTTGGAGAAGAAAACTCCTTGAGCTGTGTGGGCTGTAGAAGTTGTGATGACATTGAGTGTCCAGAGAGTTACACAGTCTGCTGGGTATGGCCACACTTGCTATTACCTGTTTTCCAGAGCTCAGCCACCAGGGGGGATATACATGTACGTATCTACTTTTCTTTTTCTTCTAAGAAGTAACCGATACCTTGAGCCCACTTTGCAAGTAGACACCATGCATCCTGAATTTTCATTTGAATTGCAAGAATTAAAGAAAATTTCTACTCTGAAATCATTTGTTACAAACTCTTATCAGAATCATCTGTTAAGAAACTGCTTGGAGCAAAGAATGAGAAAAAACATCAAGAAAATTAAACTCCTTCCCTAAAAAAAAAAGCTGCTTAGCTTTATACCCAAGCTAAGAAAAAAAAATAGTCTACATCATCATTGTTTAGCATTCTGAATAATTAATAAATTGGGCTGTTTTCTTTTGGCAGGATGGGAAGCACAAAATTCAAGAGGAAAATGTTAAACTAAAACAGCCCCTGGAAGAAAGCCACAGGTGTTTGTTAATAAAGTATTAACTAAGATATAAAGTTATTTTGGGGTGGTGGGAAAGGGAGCTTTTGATATACATTGGCAATGACACAAGGCTAGACAGTGACTTGTAATATATTAATATTCTAGAAAGACATTTTGAAAAGGAAGTAAATAAAAAATAAACCAAATACATATTGTAACACATTAAACCAAACCCATTTAGTCCATTTCAGAAACAAGGTTAATGAAGCTGTCCTCTGACTCTTCCCCAGATAATCACCAAACTCAAATTCTCACTTAAGCCCTGGCCAGTTTGGCTCAATGGTTGGAGCGTCAGACCGAGGACGAAAGAGTCACAGGTTTGATTCAGTTCAAGGGCACGTACCTCAGTTGTGGTTTGGTCCTGGCCCTGGTTGTAGACAACCAGTCAATGTGCCTCTCTCACATCGATGTTTCTCTCCTTCTCTCCTTCCCCCTCCCACTCTAGCTGAAGATAAATGGAAAAGTGTCCTCAGGTGAGGATTTAAAAAAAAGATTGCTCTGGCCAGTTTGGCTCAGCGGTTGGAGCGTCGGCCTGCGGTCCAGAGAGACCAGGGTTCGGTTCCCGCTAAGGGCACCTACCTCGGTTGCCGTTTGTCCCCAGCCCTGGTTGGGCCTGCGGGTGGTGACCACTCTATGTGTCCCTTTCACATCGATGTTTCTCTCTCTCCCTCCCATTCTATCTGAACAAAAAATGGAAAAATGTCCTCAGGTGAGGATAAAAAAAAAAGATCACTTAAAAGATGATCTCTGATCTTTGCGGGGTTAGTATCTCAAGAAATTGAAGCCCTCATCAAGCATTTCTTAGGTTCCTATGTGGACTTGAGTGTGACTTGTTTCCACCTGTGTGCTCAGAAAAGGAGCTACGTTTCAAAGAGATCCTCTCACTGCCCTTATTTCCATTCTCTTAAGGGTCTCAAACAGTTTAACTTTATTCCTTTTTCTTAATTCTTCATCTGATTTGTTCACTATGATGAAGTGCATAGGATCATTTCAAGGAAAATGACTTTTAACAATTATTCTAGCAGGTAGAAATATAATGAAGTATTACTTACTCTCACTGCATTAAAAAATGAAGAGGTCCAGCCATTTGAGATCCAGAAAAGGCAAAACCATGAAGACAGTGGTTGCCAGATGGATGGATGAATAGGCAGAGTACAGAGGATTTTTTTTTTTTTTTTTATCCTCACCCGAGGACATTTTTCCATCTTTTGTTCAGGTAGAGTGGGAGGGAGAGAGAGGAACAGAGAGAGAGAGAAACATCGACGTGAAAGGAACACATCGAGTGGCTGCCACCCGCACAACCGACCAGGGCCGGGGACAAACTGCAACCGAGGCACGCGCCCTTAGCAGGAATCGAACCCGGGTCTCTCAGGACCGCAGGCCGACGCTCTAACCGCTGAGCCAAACCGGCCAGGGCCAGAGGATTTTTTAAGACAGTGAAAATACTCAGGATGATACGATAGTGATAGATGCCTGTCATTACATATTTGTCCACACCCATAGAACGTAGAAAACCAAGAGTGAACCCTAAAGTCAACTGTAAACTTTGAGTGATTGTGATGTGTCAAT